TTTTTTTTTTTTTTTTTTTTTTTTTTTTTTTTTTTTTTTTTAAAAGCGCTTCCTTTTCCAGGTTGTTTAGGCTTAACCTTTAAGAATGTACGGTAATTGAAAATCTCTAAAGTAGGGCTGCAACTAACAATTATATTGCAAATCGATTAATCTGTCGCCCCTTTTTTTTTTTTTTTTCACTCAATCGGATAGCCAAAGGTGGCTGTGGTGTGTGGGTTTTTTTTTTTTTTTTTAAATCATGCATGACAAATTTAACCCTGTGGGTAAAACAAATTTGTCCTTTCAATCCATTTTTGTGGCACAGGGTGCACATAATGACCCTTAAGTCCTAAATATAGCTAAATTACTTGGGTGTGATCAGAAGGTTTTGTATACAAAAAGTTCCCATGAATCAGCTGCAACTCAATCCTCTGTCTGTTTTATTCATGCAGTTATTTTGAGGGTAATTTGGTTCAGTCTATAAAATGGGTTAAACTTATCAAAATGGTGTTGAAGACTGGTAACTTGTTTTAAAACAAAAGGTTTAGTCATCATGTAAACTTAAGATCTGAGGTTATGGAGTTAAAGAATGTGTGCAGAATTTAGTTTGGTGATTAAGGTACCCATCAAGTCTTTGTCATGTCTCTACAGGAGGAGACCAAGGGGTTTTGAATGGCTTCTTCAGTGACTGGGCGACAGCTGACATCTCAAAACATCTCCCTTTCATTTACAACCTCAGCAGCATAGCAATCTACACTTACCTTCCAGCATTTAAGCAGTAAGTGTGAATCTAGACCTTATGAGATCATGTGGGGAAAAATGAAAACCAGAAGTGGAGTGGGCAAGGCTGCTTTCATTTGTTTACAAGCTAAAACGATTGTTTCAGCTAAGCAGTCGGTCAATATGACTTCAAACTTATAAGAACCAAAGATGTAACTTGATCTTGTGATCACATGAACGTGTAGACTTCAGTTACTCACTCGTTACTGGGGAGATGAGTGGCAACATTCCAGACTGTGGGCTGCGTCACCCAGCAGGCCTCCCCTCTGGGTTTGATATCCACCCCTGAGCTTCCAGCAGCTGACGCTCACTCCTAAAATGGAGCAGATTATTTAAAGGCCTTTTTATATTTGCCTCCCTGACTACTCATTGTCCACCATCTTAAGCCCCCCCTCTTATTCTTGCAGCATCTGTATGTCGACACCTCTGGATATAGAAGCAAATGCCAACAAGGGTTTCAGTCTGGTATTTCCTTGTTCCAAATTAGGATTGGGGAAGTGGGTTGGTCTCTAATTGTTGATGATTGTCAACAATTGGGTTAATGAGTTTGAATTTGAGAGCTTTGGCTTACTAAAGTGCAGTTCGCAAGTTTTGTATTTGAAATTGATATTTCAGCTGTATTGTTTAAACTGTGCCTCCACACTATTGCATGAAGTGAAGGATAAAACTCAAAGAGTGCCTTTCTTTCTGAAAGCTTATTTATACCCACTTGATTTCAGATTTGTGGCATCCTGTTTCCTCTCTTCAGGTATGGTGGAAATGCCAAGGTGGTGCACTTTCTGGGGAAGGCCAAACCATGGAGTTACACTTTCAACCGCAAAACCAGACAGATTTCAGGAGGTGTGCAAGAGCCTGCAACACACCCCAGCTTCCTCCTGGACTGGTGGACTCTATATTCCAGTACTGTGGTTCCAATGCTGCAGCAACAGTATGGAGAAGAGAAGTTTCACTCTGGATGTGTGGAGGTAACGAGATGATTCAGGTCTCCTTCACAAATGGTCCACCTGTTTAGAGTTCCCAATGGTTAAGATGTTTTTTGATTAAATTGATTTATACTGTAAACTGAATATTTGAAATGCAGGTTTACCTTTTCCTAATGGTGTGTTCACACAAACGGCTTTTCTGGAGCAATCAGAAATTTTTAGCAACTAAATGGGCATGATTATGGTGACTACAACCATGTCATGCCTGGGTGGATGTGCAGCAAAATTTGCTAGAGTTGGAAAATCTGAACACTTGGCCACTTATTACTGCAACTTCACAAGACTATTCTCAGTATGTGTACTTGTGCGTTCTCATGCACTTGTGAAACCTAATCATACTCAGCCCTAGTACTGTTCCAATTCACAAGAATTCGGGATCGAAAACATACTAAGTCCCAGGATGTTCTCGCACCTCCCTTTTCAGACTATGCATCAGAGCAGACTTGTCTGTTGTCCAGATTGTAGGCTGTCCCAGCATGCACTGCGGGCAAAGTAGCTTCCAGTGGAGTGCTCACAGAGTATTAAGTTAAAAGTTCTTTTCTGTTGCCGTTCTATAAAAGTATGTTTTAAGATCATTTGAGGCGACATTATAGTTCTAAACTGTATGGTCCATTGACTGAGTGCTCGAATGAAAAAAAACAAATCCGATGTGGAGGGCCACGGCAACCAACGGACCTCTGAGGCTAACCACAGCCAGGGCTATCCTTAGCAGATCTGCAGCAGCCCTCTCTCAGCATAGCAATGTGTAAAGTACTGCTTGCTCTGATGGCGATTCGAAAATTTTTTTTTTTTAAGAGTCTATTAACGGGAGGAGCTCCAGACCAGCTTTGAATGTGATGTCACGAGTATGCTTCTGTTCCAATTGACCCTTATTAATGCTGTGTGCGCCTGTTCTCCTTGAGTCCATACTTTCCTTTTTTTTTTTTTTTTTTTTTTTTTTGTCAAGAACATAATCGGTGAGAACACGAGTCTGAGTCTTTCTCGTAAATTGAGAAATGGCCGGTGACTGGATATGGCTGACAGAGTGCAGCAGGAATTTTTTTTTTTTTTTTAATCAAGGTGGGGTGATGTCATGGCTCCAGAACCTATCCTCGCCTTACATCTACTTGAGCAGTTCTCCCTCAAAGTGGATAGTTTAGGTTCCTGCTCAAACAGAAGCGATGCAGAAAATGACCTTCATCCATCCATATACCCTGGACTCTTAACTTGGTCTTTGGAGGATTGGGTGGAACCAGGAATGCCAGTGTAATTGTCCCTTGGCATTTCAACATAAAGCACCAACCTGCTCTGTAAAGTCTGCCATGCTTGCTTTAAACTGGCAAGCAGCAGGAAGCTCCTATTGATGCAGGAAATGGATTGGAATGAAGCTAGTCTCTCGCCACATAGCAGCACCTGGACATGGCTTTTTTTCTGCTGGAATCCCATTTGAACACACAATTAGTCTGTCTGGAGGCCCAGATGGAATGTTTGCTGATCTGTTGCTGCACCCTGCTGCTTACCTGACCGGGTTTTATTTATTTATGTTTTCCACATACTTAACTTGCTGTTCTAAAGCTTTGAGCAAGCCATTAGTACAGTACAGAAGAATCCAACACCAGATTGTGTCTAGTGTGACAATACATAGTTCATCCAAGTGTTTTGCAAGCTTACTTGGGGAAGGCAATATCAAACTTTGTCAGCCTTTACTCTTGTTACTGTGGCTGTATGTTATGTAAATGCTTTTGACTTTTGCATTGCTTGTAGAACTGCTCTTGGCTTCTCTTGCAGTGTAAGTACATGCTGTAATTCTGCTTCTCTTTTGTTTTCCCATCTCAAAGTCCAAGCACAGTGACCCAGTCACTTGTGAGACTGTACAGGTATGGAGAGGATTTGGTTTATTTGTTGGCACTTGCCTGCTGTCACCAACTGTTACCCTAAAACGGGAGTCTTGCTGTGTCTGCCTGTACTCACCAATGCAGATGGTACACGTGGTGTGGTTTATAATCACAATGGGTGTCGTCTAATCTATTGTTTGGAGGGTTGTCTTACCTTATGCCCCTGTCACACCTTAACAATTTAGCCAGTGTATGCCTGACGTCCCAGAATCTTAAGCGCTAGCATATGCTGAACTTTTTATTTTTATTTTTTTCAGTTATGGGCATATGCATAGAGTATTCATAAAGAGTTAGCATGTATGTCCAGCAGCCTAAGTTATGCATAACACACTGCAGTGTAATGTCACACGTCTGTGCCCTGAGGGGGGGCAGCAATGTGCCTGGAGGCACCCAGCCTGCAATAAAACATGTATTTGATTGAGGTATTAACCTGACTGCTGTTGACTGGCTGTTTATATATTGAGGGGAGGGGGGTGAAGGGATGAAGTCTGCAGGCTTACTGACGGTTTTGTCCTGTGAACCCCTTTTATACCGAAATTCTTCCAATACACCATTATACAATAACTGTGTTAGAAACGCGTTCAGTGGTCATCTGGAACACGTCAGATGCTTTGATATGCATTGGAGATAACTTCTTGATAAGTTGATACACAAGTTAGTCATAGGTTTTGACTGAGCTAGACACCACAACTTATGAGTAACTTATGTCAACGATCAAATAACTTGCCTGTAACTTCTGGCCCACATATGAGCATAAGCTGGCATAAGTCAAGAAATTTTGAGCATGCTCAATTTCTCGACGTAATGTTGACATGTGCTTTAGTTCTTCAGCGTGCTCATAAGTTATACGAAACTGACCCATAACTTATCCAACGTATGCCAGCGTTTTTGACAGATTTTTCATATCAGGCATATGCTGTCTGGCTAAATCAAGGTGTGACAGTGATTTTACAAGAGTAAAGATGGTGACTGAAATCTATTTATTTTTTTTCCTTCAGGAGGAAGATTCCTCTTCGCATGCACAAGCTCCTGAATCCATCCCAACTTCAGAAGAACGAAAGGAGCAGTGGGAGCAAGGCCAAGCAGACTACATGGGAATGGACTCCTTTGATAATATTAAAAGAAAGCTTGACACTTTTCTGAAATGAAAAGGGAATGAAGAGAATAAAAGGCACTTGCAGTCTAACAAATGGTTGTCTTTTTAATTTCATAAATGGGTTGTAGTCTCACTTTCCTTTCACTGCATGGTCACCATTGTCCAAAGAACATGACTTTCAAATGATATTGCCTGCTTTAAGATTAGTTTACCCTGTCACACTGAGCAAAAAACAAGGTCAATTTTACAATGTCATCTACTTTCAGGTAGAAATCTTTAGAATGCTTATGTGAGGTCTGTTTTGTTTTCTTTTTTTACTTTGAAGTCAACAATTGGCTGCTTGCGTGATTAGTTTTCTAGTTTAAAATGGTTACCGGTACTTTTACTTGCAGTACTACAAAGGCAATTTGTCAGCTGTACACAACTCTTCGTGCCTTAACGTCTTGTCACCTTTCTTTCAGAGCTCAGTTTGCTACTTTCCTATGGGTGATTTCATTGAGTTGGGTCTGGTTTAACTTAACCAGCATGTTGTGTAACTGCCTTTCAGCTGAAAAATAAATAAATGAATAAAAAATTAAGTCAGTTTCTGAGTGTTTAATTTTCTTCAAACTCTATACAAAATGTCCCCCCATCTTTAAAGCCAAGCGCCAGGTTAGCTGTAGTCCTTCAAACTGGTTTCTGCCCTGCTTTGTTTTTACATGGTGTACATTAAAGTCTTGCCTCAACTGGGTTATGCATAAAATAAACTTTATAACTCAAAACGGGCGCACATGTTGGCTGGGTTGAGACTGAAATCTATTTTTTTTTTTTTTTTTTTTTTCTCGGCCAAGAATCCCTTCCGGCTACTTCCGGTTTCAACATCAGTTATTCCCTTTTTTTTTTCTTTTTTTTTTTCCCGGGCAAGAAGGTTCCCTTCCCTTCGACATATTTCCCCAGTCATAAAAAATTTAATCCTCAGGATTTGAGTTTTTTTTTTTTTTTTCTCTTGACAAAAGCGCTGCCCTCATTCAAACGTCAGACAGGGGGCGTTTCTTTTTCCGTACAGTTATCCCACTGGTCTGTAATGTAGACGGCTCGTGCAGGAAAATAAACACTCAGTTGCTTCAAGATGGCTCCTCAGTCTATGTTCAGAGCGGCCCTCCTGGTGTCCTTCTCGGTTCTCCTCACCGTGGTGCTGGGTTTCGGGCTCCCCGCTCTCCTTAACGCCATCATGAGGATGCTGGGGCTGCCGGAAACGAGCGTGACGGAGTGCATCGTCCTGATCTATGCGGGTTTTGTGATTTACGTCGCTTCGCCGCGAATCCCCAGAGGATCCGTGGAGGTAATGGAGCAGAACAGGAAATTGTGTTAAACATGGAAACCTTTTGTTTTCTAATTGACAGCCCCGTCAAGCTTTGGAACACAGTCTGAGCAATCTGTTAACATGCAGAGACTCCAGAAAATGTCCTTTAGGGACAAGGTGACCGATGCATGAGGTTTAACTTTGCAAACTCTTGCTGCTCTGCACCAGATTTTTGGTTGGATTTGTCTGCATTTTTGCATGCATCATGTGGTTTTTACTGTTTGTTTAGGTTAAAGGGAAAGCTGTGCTTATTACGGGTTGTGACACTGGATTTGGACTTTCACTTGCAAAACATCTGCACACGCTCGGTTTTACCGTCTTTGCTGGGTGTCTGCTGAAGGTAAATATACAACTTCTTTTTTTTATACAGCATATAGTGGATTTTAGAAGTATTTGCACCCCCTAAATGTAGAAAACTGTTTGCAGATTTGTTGTCAAAAAGAAAAAAAAAAATCTAAACATGTCCAATACAGGAAATTTGTCTTGGATGTGCTACCAACATAAAAGGTGTAATAAATAAACATTAAATACACCTATTGCACGGACATTTTTTTATTTTATTTTTTTGCTCAATAAAACAAAGTTAACTTTGTAGAACCAGCTTTTACTGTTATTATTGTGCAGTTCTTTCTTCTTATTTTGCCTATCCTCTAAACATTTTAACTTTTTGCCGATGGCCATGCCACATTAATGCCAGATTTGTGGAGAACAAATACGGCATTAAAACATTCAAATAAAATATAAGTTTTCCTCTAAACTTGCATTTAGCTGAAGCTTAATTACCAAATTGGCATAAGGGCATCAAAGATAGACTGACCAGTTATATTATTTGCATGCAAAATGCAAGCCATGTGAAATATAGTATTCTACAAAACATTGCATCCAAGTAATTAGTTGTGATACTGCTATATGTATTATTATGATGTGCAGCTCTTGGTTCTAGTTTAGCCACGTCAGGATGTTACTGCTGTAAGAATAAATTGCATAAAAAGCCTTAAATGGATGTTGACCTGTCATTATTCTTAAATTTCTTTTATGCAGGACAAAGATGGAGAAGGTGCAAAGGAGCTTGATGAATTTCATTCAGATCGCATGAAGGTGGTACAGTTGGACGTCTGCAGTGACGAGCAGGTGAAAAAGGCAGTCGAATACATCAAAGGCAACCTGGATGATTCCCAGAGAGGTAGCGATAAGGATTTATTGTGCCCGATATCAGATCAATGAAATGTGGGCCGATTGATGCTGATTCTGTCCATGCATCAGGACTGTGGGCAGTGGTGAACAATGCCGGGGTGTCGACCTTTGGAGAGGTGGAGTTCACCTCCGTGGAGAGCTACAAGCAGGTGTCAGAGGTTAACCTGTGGGGCACCATCAGGGTCACCAAAGCCGTTCTTCCATTAATCCGCAAAGCAAAAGGTAAACTCATGGAAGATTCCTCAGCCTGTTACTTATTAACGTCTACTTTTGTGTAAGCATGACATTAAAAAAAACAGATTCGTCCAAAGTACAAAAAGTAGAGAGGGTCAGATAACCTGGAGTGGACGTTTAGTTTCCCGTCATTAAAATAACTTTGTAACCAAAGCTTGATCCTAAAACACTGTTTCTAAAAAGGTTATTTCTTCCTCCTAGTGTGAATCTGTAGCTGCAGGATTAGGAAGCTGACCAGGGCCAATGTTTGTTTTGGCTACCAAAAGCAGCCGTGGTGGATAACGTAATGAAATTCACATGTTTCCTTGGTAACCACTCTCAGGTTTAAGCTGGCAGATTTTGTTACAGTTTAACCATAACGTGAAGACACAGATTGAAAAACAAAACCAAATCCAACTCTCTCTTGCAAACATTGTTTAGATTCAGTAATCCTTCAAAATATCACAAAGTGCATACCAGAAATGATTCTATGATCTATTTTTACTCTGCACACAATCAGTGTCAGGTAAGTTAAAGGAAGCAAAGGCGAAATATGTGATCTGTTCTTTATCATATCTATTTGTATCTGCTCTATAGAGGCCTTTATCAAAGGTCGTTGTCAAAATAAGAGTCCAACAGTTAAAGGAAAATATTTTTGTAGAACATATGAAAAAAAAAAAAAAAACTTAATTGCAGGAAATTTCAAACATGTATTTTATGTGAACATTCGATTAAAATAAACTATTTAGAAAAAAATATATACATTTTTAGATATTTATTGATCTTATATAGATTATTTTTCTTACTAAAAATGCAGCCAGTGATGCAAAAGTCTAGTTTCCATTAGATAGTTATACATTAGATGATTTATTATATTAATTTGGATTTTGGCACATCTTATTTTTTTAAGGCTACCAAATGGACACCCAAAATGCTATTTTTTACCCATGGAATAAAGCTGTCCATGCCAACATGACTGTATGTAAAATAAAAAAAAACATTTGCTGTCATTTGATCTTATTTTTATCTGAGGTTTCCAAACAGCTGCTGTTGTTTCTAAATCCAGCAGGGATACAACTGCTGTTCTCCATTCAGCCTTTCTGTTATCTAATGGAAGTATTGCAGAGGATTTGGGGATGAAATAGAATATAACTCAACTTTGTTTTCATTACACTGTCACAAGTACAAAGCAATGAAATATAGTTTGCATCTATCCAGAAGTGCTATTAAGGATATAAATATTTATTTACATGTGCACAGAGACTATGTATGTATTGACTATAAATGCTATATAGACACAGAGAGTAATTGTAAGAGGCTATGAAATAAATAATTATGGAAGCTATATACAGATTATACAGGAAAGTTAGGATATAGATCATATATATATATATATATAAGTGGGGTTATAATATAGGATAAATAATGACAGGTAATGGCAGATAAAAGATTTACAGATTATATAAATCTACAGTTGAGAAGTACTTGTAAGTGGTTTAGCCACCTGTGCTAGAATTTTGCATCATTCACATTATATTGTACTCTGTTAGAACCTTCAACCTATAGTGGAGGATTTCCCAAATTTTTGAAAAGACCCGTCATCTACACCCAAAAAAAAAATAAAAAAATGCTCATGCTCAACCCTGTACCCACTCCCAAGTAGGGATGGGGATCGAAACCCGGTTCCATCAAGGACCCGGTTCCACTTTTTTCAAAACCCGAAAATCAATAACTTTGGGCTTATCAATACCACTATCGAGTCTGGTCGTTTTTTGTTTTTTCTCCCGGAGGTCCTGTAACATAATTGTGTGTCCCTCGAGTCGCGTCACAGCATTTAAATCTAATCAATCCAATCACTGCAGCATGT